CACCCACACCCTCAAGAGCTAAAAGAACATTTGAAATAATAATTAAAGTCAGCGTATCAGTTATAACTTTTGTTAATCCTAATAAACTAATCTTCAAGAGTAGAAAAATAAACATATTTTATTTATTTGGAATCGAACATTAACGTGTAACAATACAGTAGAAATATGGAAGGAAACAGTTCGCGAATGTTATAAAATGAGAATTCTTCTAACTAAAGTATTGTTTGGAATTTGAATTACTTGCAAGAAAAAGAGTAAGACAAATGAAAATTAATTTGTTTGGAATAATTAATATAACTCTGCACTATTTAAATAACCACTATTACCATCGTATCCACCAGTAACTAATACTTTTCCATTTGATAATACAGATGCTGTGTGGAAATCTCGTACATTAGTCATATTACTAGTAGTTGTCCAAGTACCTGTTGATGTATCATACAATTCAGCACTATTTAAAACAATGCCAACATTGTATCCACCAGTAACTAATACTTTTCCATTTGATAATACAGATGCTGTATGATACTCTCGTGGATTAGTCATGTTACCACTAGTTGTCCAAATACCTGTTGATAAATCATACAACTCAGCACTATTTAAAGCAGTATTGCTTTGTCCACCAGCAACTAATACTTTTCCATTTAATAAGACAGATGCTGTGTGATAATATCGTGAATTAGTCATGTTACCAGTAGTTGTCCAAATACTAGTTGATGGATCATACAATTCAGCACTACTTAAAGCACTGTTACTATTGTATCCACCAGTAACTAATACTTTTCCATTTGATAATACAGATGCTGTGTGATAATATCGTGAATTAGTCATGTTACCACTAGTTGTCCAAATACCTGTTGATGAATCATACAACTCAGCACTATTTAAATAACTAGTAGGGCCATATCCACCAGTAACTATTATTTTTCCATTTGATAATACAGATACTGTATGAGAAACTCGTGGATTAGTCAGGTTACCACTAGTTGTCCAAATACCTGTTGATGGATCATACAATTCAGCACTATTTAAATAACTAGTAGGGCCATATCCACCAGTAACTAGTACTTTTCCATTTGATAAGACAGATGCTGTGTGATAATATCGTGCATTAGTCATGTTACCAGTAGAAAACCATCCTAGAAGTTACATTTTTATGTATTTAGACAATATAATATTAGACAATCAAACACTCAACATTCATTATTCTTGTACAGTATTATTTCATTATTCTAAAAACGACAGCCTTTCATATGTCTGTTTTTGATATTACTTCAAACGTATATAGACCGAGAATAGTTGTCAAATCTGTTGCACAAAGTCTCCTCGCGTATCATTATCACATCGTCAGTTTTCTATGTTTTCTATTCACTCACTAACTAAGTTGAACAGTTTAACATACTTCAGTTCCTTATCTCTTTTTTGTTCCTCATATTAATTATCAATAGATATCACAAATCTGTATTAGTCTATCTATTACATTACTCTTCACTACAAGAAAAATATCACTCGACAGAAGTTTTATACAAATGAATGATACTTTATCTATAAGTATGACTAAAATATATTCTTCTAATAGATTTTGATAGAGTTTGAAACGTAAATAATATGTATTATTACCTGTTTTACACATGTATGTTGCTAAGAATGGTAAACATACTGCTTGTGATGAACAACATGAATTAATAATACATATTGAATTATTTGAGGAACATGTTTGTGTAACATTATCACATCTTTCTAATATTGAACATAAAATACCAGGTGCACAATAACTAATATTATTTATTGTTCGATAATCAAAACAAGGCGTTGATGATGAACGGCAATTATCGTTATTATTATTAGTTAAGTTTACATTACATTGTTGTAAAGAACAATTTGATGTTGGATTCGCAGCTGAATGAGATGATGAAGACAATGTAAACTGAATAGAGGCATTATTTTCACTACAAGAATAATTAGGTAGTTGTGTAGTTTGTCCTAAAGAATTCATCTGTATTGTAATATAGAGTCAAATGAAAACAGATAATCCAACAAACCTTTTACAGTTGAATGAGATATAATGAAAAGCAAGGCAATGATTGATCGCATTATTTTCTGTGTGATGAATGAAAAAATAAAGTATGGCGCAGCAATAAGTGATTTTTCTCTGCTCTTTTTTTCTACCACTTCCTAAATTTCTCTTTTAGTTGAAAGAGCGTAAAACTGTTTCTCTTAACACTTGTCTATGTTCTTGAAATCAAAAATAGATTCATTTTATTTTGAATTGTTTATTCATTCAAATGTGTTGAAATGTTTATTTTGTAAACGCCTGTATCAGAAAAAAACGCTTCTGTGTCTATAATTTTTATTCTCATAAAATACTCTTTTGTTTCGTTCTTTCATCACATCAAAATTGTAATATTTTTTCAATCGAAGTTTAAGACATCATCAGTTATATGAAGTTGTTTGATTGACGAGGGTAAAAGAAAACATCACTTGAACTGATTTATGCTTACTTCATCATTTCTCTATAGGAATTCATTCATTACACACAACTTTTCAAACATAAATAAGAGATTCGGTTATTATTTTCATTATTTTTGTCTTTATATTTTATGTGACTGTTATTTTTTTGAAAAAACATTATTCTTGTATAGAGTAAAAAATATATTGAATCACATGATTAAATATGAAATTAATTTAGCTAATGTTAGTAATTGAAGTTTCTAGAAAACAAGTTTATTTATTATTATAGAAAAATAAAGAATAGTTTGTAATCTATATATTTGGAAACCGCAGAGTTCAAATCTAAAAAACTAGGATGTGGGTGTAGGTGTGAATATGAGTTAAAGTAACAGACACGCACCCACACACCAACTCCACATTCACATTCACGCAACACCCATACCCTCAAGTAAATATTACGATCTATCATTCTTATCAAGTATTTTATACGGAAAGAAACGGTATTTTTTCACAAAAAAAGCTGTTTTCCAGCTTATCATGATCGATAATTTGGTATAAAATTTTAGAATGTTTTTTCTAAAACTTATGTGATATAGTATGAATGAAATTATTAACCTGTTTATAATAAACTAGCCGCAAAGCTCAAACCATTTTGAAATATATGTTTAGATAAACTATTACATTGTTATTTGTATTGTATAAGCAAAAGAACTAAATAGTGATTATATAGTACAACTATTTTTTGATTAATCTTAATTACTATGTCAGTTTTACTCACTGTTTTATCTAACACGCACGTCCAAAAAGAGGGACTATGTCCTCTCACGAGATTAATAGAATGACATTCATAATCTTTCTATTCTTTTCTCTACTAAGCGACTTTTATTGAGATGCTAATTTACTTCAATAGGTCATTCTATAGATATATATATAAACAAAAACAACAACGATGAATTTGAGATTCGTCATCATAAAGTTTTAAAACTACAGAAAACACAAATATTAAATTCAATTATATCGAAATTAGTTATACTAAGAAATACTTCTGATCGATTATAATCTATTTGCAATAAATAATTACAAAGAAAGAAATAGATATAATAAAATTTAAACAATTCAATTAATGTTTTCGACTTGTGCAAAAAATTCGAATAAGTTCTACGCAGTAAATTATTAATCATATCTTGAAAAAAACAATTCTCAGAAGACTAAGATTTGCATTCGAAACAAATTAAGATACTAATATAAATTTAGCTATATTCAAAATAACTATTGAAGTTAAATTATCTTTAGTTGTTGAATAAAAAAAACCTCTGTATGCATGACATGCAATTTATTATTATTATTAAATGTATACAATTCTTCTTGATCAAGCAACGAGCACATTATTATTATCAAATACAAGAAGGAAGAAGAGAAGAAAAGAGAAAAGACAGAAAGAAAAAAAAAACATCAACTGACACATTGGGTTTGTTTTAATTTTGAGCTTTTTCGTATATATATGTATAAATGTATACAAATCTATGTACAATTTGTAAACAGAATATAAATCATAAATGATGAGTGGAATCGTTAATAATCAATGGTTTATTTAAATATAATTTTTGATTTGGATCAGCATCAAACACTGGATGAATTTTATAATGTTCGATAAGATCATATAAAGATTTAAATGAACGTTTACCAATAAGAAAACGAGTACCATCATCACTTGATTCAATACGAAAATGACGAATAAGATCTTCATCAGCTCGAATACTTAGAGAATAACAACCAATCTATTCATAAAAATAAAAAATAATAATAATATTCAATACAATTATTTTTTTTTAATTTACTTTTCGTTCACTGTTACGAATAAGAAAATCTCCTTTTTCAATTCCATTTAATTTTAAAAGTTTTTCAGCTTCATCTCTTGTTATTGTACCATAATACCAACTTTCATTATCATATGATGAATCATTCAAATATTTTTTTGATGATTTCAATGTTAATGTTGTTAAACCATCAACAACATTTATTGGTTCAGTACTTATAATTGATGATGATGCATAACCAGAATTTGTATTATCATATTGTATTAATGCTGTCCATGAACTATTCTTTTGTTGATCATTATTATTGTATGTTAAACATGAATCAAGTTTACCATCTGAATGAGCAAATTTCGATGGTTTTATAATAAATGCATATTCATCATTCATATTTGTTATATGTGGAGGATGAGAATTATGACGATTTTGTTGAAGATTAAGATTATTATTATTATTGTTGTTATTGTTGACATTATTCGTAAGATCTGTTTCAACTATATTTGAATTAGCACTACTTGATGATGATAAACCATTGGATGATGAGGATGAATGATGATATTTTAATTGATTTAATAAAGATAGAGAATTTAAACCATCATTTGTTTTCTAAATTCAAAAGAAAGATTTGTATTTAATTCAAAAATTAATTTTTACTTCAATAAGGTAATTCGATGGAAACCATCCACGTTGTTTTTCATATTGTACAAGCCACCAACCATCATTTTTCTTTTGTAAGACATTAACCCATATACCTTTATTTAAACTGATTTCATCTTCACTGAAAAACACGATAATAATAATAAATTCAAAAGTTCAAAAAACAAATTTTTAATTACCTTTCAGCATCATATCGAAATTTAACAAGAGCTAATGAAAGTATATGTTCATGGTTATGTCCATTGGATAGGATTTGTTTTTTATTGATACGTTTCGAAATAATTTTATCGAGTAATGAACGTTTTTCACGTCGTGCAAAATTTGATGGAATGTATCTTAATAATATAAAAAAAAATCAATTAGTATTGGAATTATTTTATGCATCGATATTGTAAATTTGCATAACATTACAAATATGATGTAGTCTATCATATTATATGATCAAGGTTAAGAGTTCATTTTATTTGTTAGATGTATCATGTCATGGGTTTGTTATTAATGAAATGAAATTAAAAAAAAAGGAAGTATGACAAAAGCATAGCCTCGAGAGATTGATAATGAATGATTTTCATCAATTACTTCTATACACTTGTCGATTAATAGGAAAAGAAAGAGATATACCCTTATATATAAAGAAGAAGAAAAACTTTGATTAATTGATATAAAACATCTTTCGATTTTCTTATATTTATTTACCCGGTATCATCGGAATCGATCCGCTTTACTTTCCACCATAGACATGAATCATCAATTAATTGAAGGCGTTCATTTTTAGTAATCGATAATTCATGATTTTCTTGTGCATTATAATTAAATTTTGCAATTATAGTCTCACTACTACCATCTAAATATAAGAATAATAATAATAAACAAAAAAAAATCAATACACTCACTAATGCTACTATTATTTTGTTGCATATTGATGTAGTAATGTCGACGGCATTCGATCTATAATAAAATATATATGTGTCTAATGAAAGAAAAAGAAGAGAGAGAGAGAAAATGGTATTAGTAATCTACTTTTCAACAGTTTTGTTTTATTATTCTCAGATATAAAAATAGTTTTCGATAAAAGAAAAAACAAAACATCGTTTATAATTAAATAGGTGATGACATTCAAAGAAAAAAACAGAACTTGATGTGCGACAAGTAAAGGCATGAGAAACATCTATACAGGAAAAAAAAAGAAACGATAATGACAATGCAATCGCATGTATCATTCATTGTCGTTTGATTTTTTTTTCATTCTCTCTACTTGTCTCAATACGATGTATATATACTATTATACACAATAGACTAAATTTATTCTGCTTCGTTTCGGGTGTTCATGTAAAGAAAAAACCTTGAAAATGTACTTCCACTACAATCAACTTACTGTTTTAGGTCACCAATCAATATCAATAAGTAAGTATATATAAGTCGAATGAGTTCGTATGTCTGTCAACAATTGATATACTATTAGAGTTGAAGGATATACTTAACTCAACACAAGTGTATGAGCAATTTTGACACTATCTGGAATGAGGAAAAATATTGAATTGCATCATGTATATGTTTTACAAATACTATACCGATAAAAATAAAAGACTGGTGATCAAAGAAATGATGATCATAAAATAAAAGTGACAATAAAGAAGAAGAAGAAAAAAGAGCAAAAACAAATAGATGAAGACGACGAGACACTCGGGTATTTATTTGAATAACATCGTTCTTATTTACAACGTATAAATATAAATATATATAGACATATATTGATAATCATGTTGTGTGAGAATGGATAATCTCCCTTGAGACTAACTCACTGATTGTATACACATATTTTTGTCAGGCAAAAATAACAGATATTAATATATTATTATTGTTGACAAGATCGATGTGACAGATGGCTCAGTAACACGAGCAAAGGAGAAAAAGAGGCTGTGATAGATGTCAACATTTATTATCAATTATATGTATATAGATATATCACCTAACAGAAAAAATACAATAATACAAAATAAAAACAAAATTTCCCAAAAGAAAATTTCTATTCGATTGTATTTTTTTTCTTCTTTCTATACTCTATGAAATAAATATAGTCAAATAACTTACTCTAAACCTGTCGGAATCTAATAGGCATATATATATGAAGTAAAAACCACAACGATACGATATATACAAGTTATTTTTTTTTTTCCTCCTTTCCTTAAAAAATAAACATTGATTCTCGATAAGACAAAAACAGAAGGTCAATTGAACGACGCAACTTTCAATTTGATTTTATTCATTGATTGTAGCGACATATTCATCGATCTTTAAACAATTCTATTGGTTCACATACATATCAATCAAATTAATAAAAAAGTAATGTCTTTGTCTTTGTCAAAAATATTAATCGAACAAATATTGTTCATTTTCTCTAGTACAACATTAATACTTCATATATCAATCTCATAAATATGTCGTCATACAATACTCCAAAGTATCTTTTTTATATGTTTTTTTTCTAATTTATTAAATTATTAAATTTAGTCGTTTACGTCAAACATCAAAAACGACTCGTGCATACGATTCAAGTGATAATGGTACGCCAAGTCCAGCTCGTTACCGATCAAAACGTAATCGAAATGATGAAAAGTAAAATATTTAACAAATTAAATATCCTTTGTTATGGTTAAATCAGATCTATATAACACCTGACATTATTTAAACTTACAGTACCTTAATTAAACTTGTTTTTATGTATAGTTCATGTGTGAAGAATAAATTCGATGGACATTTTGATGAAAATGCAAATGATCAATTTCATGATGATAAAATTTCAAATAGATCATCGAATAAACTCGATGTAAAAAATGATAATACACCTCGAACACCAAAACCAAGGTAAAAATAGAATTTAAAAAAAAAAAACTATTTTGCTTATTTAGTTTTGAAGAAGAACAGCAAGAATTAAAAAAATCTCTATCAAAGGATTGGTGTGATAAAATGGATAATGCAGAAGCAGAAGAAAAAAAATTACATAGGTACAAAAAAAAAAACACAACTTCATTAACTAATCTTTTATTTTCTAGTTTTGTTCTATATCTTAAACAATTTCCTATGCATAAAAATAAAACAACAGAAGAACTTCTTACTTCTATTGAATGTTGTCCTAAAGGTTAGAATTATTATTTGCGATAGAATTTATAATTATATTGTCTTTAAATAGAACTTCTACGTCGACAGAAAGAAATTAGTAAAGGAAAATTATCGAATGCATATCAGAATTATATATCAACCATATTACGGTAACTTAATTTACTGGATTTTTTTGTTATGGATGAGTTTCTTTTGACTTTTAAAGAAAATGTCGTACACGTCAACATCCACGCACACCATGTAAATATGCGAAAATGTCTCGACGTGGATTCGATGGTTCTATTAAAGCATGGCGTCGAAAACTTCATGAATTCAATGGAGATAAGTATGTAATTTCAATACAAACAAATTTAACGCAACGTCGTTTTCTCCTCCACATCTACACCCTAGGATATACAATCTGATATAAGACAAATTCTTCTACTCATTAAATGCTAGGCTAGATTATTATATGATGCTACACGCTACTTTTCAATCTGTGTAAAATCATTTTAATCGGCGTAAACGCGGTCAGAGTTTAAAACTTTCGATCTAAATATCATGACTATAGTCCTCTATAGTATAGTGTCAAATGGTTGGATGTTTTTCTAGACTACAACACTGAGAGGTCAGACTTAGTCTATCAAGTTCTGAAAAGACCCTCATAGAGAAAAACAGTACTTAATTTTCTCACTTTCATCATCGCGTTTCGTCGTATATTTTTACTGTAATTTTCAGACGACTCGTTCAAATGAGATAATATTTTCACAGATTGTGGGGATGATAGAGGTACATCTTTCACCGAAACGATGAGCCTTCTACACTACCTAGTTGTTGAGAAAAGCTAATAAAACTGTAGCCAAAACGTCATCGCGTTTAAGCCGTACTATATCTTCTTTTATTGGTTTAATCAATAGAGTATATATTTCTGGATTAATGTTAGTTTTAATTGTCAATTAAAAAAATCTATTTTTAGACTTCAATAAGAGTTCAAAATATTCTTGAGATTGCGCATAAATATATAACATCTAAACATATCTTTCTAATTAGAAAGAAAAACAACATACGCATGTCTAATGATAATATTCTTGATCTTAATTTGAATGTCTACAAATATTAATTATTATATATTTTTTTAACTTTATTATAGAACAAAAGAAAATAGTACGAATAATGATGATTCATTCTCATCATCTCAACGCAGTGATGGTTATTCAACACCTTCATCAACATCAATGAGTTTAGATGAAACTGATGAAAATTTTCTTCCAGATTTATATGATTTTGAAGAAGCACTTACAAATAATGAACCTTTTATTGATTTGGATGTTGCGGATTCAATGGATACAATTGTTAATAATGTTGATTCACGTTCAGCTATGGTATTTGATTAATATAACAAATGAAAAAAAAAGAAAAAGAATAAATATTTCATAGAAAAAACAACATATTTTCCTCTGTAAAATCGTTATTTTCATATATTTCTTTTATATTCATTTGTATTGAATGAAAAAAGAAAACGTCAGATACTCTTTTTGTTCTTTATTAGCTGTTACATAGACGCACGTTGTTTGGATATAATTACTTTTTCTATTCGTGTGTTAATGTATGTATATATATCTATGTGTATGTTTATTTGTCCTTGTCTATCTACCATTTAATAAGTAGATTTAAAAATAATAATACTACTAAGATCAGCAATATTCATGTGATTAAAATTTATTTTTTTTGTCTGATATATACTCTTATTTGCTTGCAGATTGAAAAGAGAAAAGAATGATCCATAGTTTATTTATTATCAATGGATCAGGGTAAATATTAAAATACAGGAATTAATGAAAAATTTATTGTTATTTATTATGAAACTTTTAGGGAGGTTTTCATGGAAAAACATTGGAAAACAGTTGTGAGTAAATCAATCTGTGATTATTTTTTTGAAGCTCAAAAAAAAGTAAAAAGATTTTTTGTTTTTTCCATTTTATTCTCACTATATATTCCGAATTTTAGTCTGCGAATCCTGAAGATGTTTCACCGGTTATTGCTACACCTCATCATTATTTGATTAATATCTGTCGAAATAATCTTTACTTTGTTGCTGTACTTACTAATGAAAGTAAATATTTATTTGTAGTATAGAATACATTCTAATCGTACTAGAAGAGAGTCAATAGTTTTTTCCTGGAAATTACTAATGTATAATACAAAATAGTTGAGTTTATAAAACGTTTTCTCAGTAAATTTTTTTTGCGTGAGGCAAATATCGACAAATAAAAAATACGTAATTTCAAAGCAATTGAACTATCTGCAATGACGATGCTGTTTGTGTTCATTGGACTTGCAATATTATTAGAATGATTTGAATGGCAATCTTTCGTTATATTAGATATTCTAGCCATAATGGAAATTTCATTTCTAGGTGCACCACTATTTGTGATCGAATTTCTACATCGTATAATGGATGTATTTGAAGATTATTTTACTGCATGTACTGAAACGACACTTAAAGATAATTATGTTATTGTGTATGAGGTAAAAGATGAAAAACTAATTTTAATTATTTTAAATAAAGATCTTTTTTTTAATTATATTTGATATAGTTATTAGATGAAATGCTTGATTCTGGCTTACCATTAGTAACAGAAACAAATACACTTAAAGAACTTATTAAACCTCCAAATTTATTACGTAAAGTAGCTAATTTAGTTACTGGAGATAGTACAAAGTAAATAAAAATATTATTTAGAAAAATAAAATTGAATTTCTTATCTTTTTGTTTTAGCGTTAGTGATGCTCTGACATCGAGTCAGTTATCAAATATTCCATGGCGTCGATTAGGTGTTAAATATGCAAATAATGAAGCTTATTTTGATTTAATTGAAGAAATAGATGCTATTATTGATCGAAATGGGACAACAATTATGGGTGAAATTCAAGGATATGTAAGTTTATAAAAGAGATTTATTAATATTGTCTTCTATTAATATTATAATACTATATAAAGGTACAAGAGAATAAGTTTTTCAAGTAGGTATCACCAAAACTAGATGCTATGGTTGATTATTGCTAGTAGTAGAATATACAAAATTTTAAAAACTTCGTAATTTATTTTAATTTAGATTGATTGTTGTGTAAAATTAAGTGGTATGCCAGATTTATCATTAACATTCGTTAATCCAAGGTTACTTGATGATGTTAGTTTACATCCATGTATTCGATTAAAAAAGTGGGAAGTATGTTGTCATTTCTATGTAAATAATTTCTTCAAAAAGAACTAAAACCTGATCTTTTTAGAGTGAAAAAAGTCTATCATTTATTCCACCTGATGGGAATTTTCGATTAATCTCATATCATATTGGTTCACAAAAGTAAGTTATACCTACGAAGAAGATTTTTCGAATTCAATTTTCTATTAGACAAAAGTTGATTTTAAACAAATATATTGAATCTCGACTCATAATATAAATGTTAAAGATCAAATTGACATGATAATAGATACGATTCCGATAATATTACATTGATATATCTACCATTCTCTTAAATACTGAAATGAGCCGGTAGAATACCTCTTTCGTTTTGTTCAACGATTACTTTTTTATGTTCAAAATTCGTGAAACTTATTTATTACTGTTTCTTTCAGTTCCATATCCATTCCAATATATGTAAAACATAATATACAATATCGTGAAGGTAGCGCAGGACGTTTTGAATTAACTGTGGGTCCTAAACAAACAATGGGCAAATCCGTATGTATTTATTTATTGTAAATGTTTTAATTATAAGTTATTTTTTAGCTTGAGGCTGTTGCCATTGAATGTGCAATGCCAAAAAGTGTACTGAATTGTACATTAACACCGTCTCAAGGCAAATGTACATTTGATCCAGTAAAAAAAGTTCTCACGTGGGATATTGGTAAAATAGAAACAAACAATCAAAATTCAACACGTTTACCAACAATACGTGGCAATATTACACTAGCAGCAGGTCAACCCATTCCAGAAGGAAATCCAACATTAAATGTTCGTTTTACAATTAATCAAGTAGCATTATCAGGCATACGTGTACAACGTGTTGATATGCATGGAGAAAGTTATAAACCATTTAAAGGTGTTAAATATATAACAACCGTAAAAAATGGTCGTTTTCAAATTCGAACATAAATTTTATTTTTATTTCTGTTAATATATATCGAGAGAGTTTCATATTATACTTCGACAACTTTCAATAATATAAATGTTGCTTTATTTGTTTTAGATTGAAAAGAAAATTTTTGTAAACAAATGGGTAAACGTGGTCGTAAACCAATGAAAAGTGACACAAATACACGATTAGAAAAAAGTCGTGAAAGTGCTCGACAATGTCGTCATCGAAAAAAACTTCGTTATGAATATTTAGAAGAACTTGTTAGTGATAGAGAAAAAGCAATTGTACAATTACAACAAGAATTAGAACGTCTACGATCAATTTCTAAACAAATCGATCAACATGGTATGACTAATGAAATACATCAAGAGTTAATACAATGGAAAAATGATCCTGATATAACAAATTTAAATCACTAACAAAAAAAAAAGCATTTGTTTGTTTTTTTCTTCTTCTTCTTTTATGTATACATATAAATGTAATTACCCGGTTTTGATTTTGGTGTTTAAAAACAGTGAATAAAGATGTGCAATAGTTGCACAAACAATATATTTAAATAAACTATTCTAAAACTGTAAGAACACAAGATTAGTGTAAAATACATGTGGCGGATTAACCTAATATTATTAGAATAAGCATATTATAGTCTAAACGTCTCAATATAGTTACTAGAAGCTATTTTTACACTTTGATCCGACAGGTGAGACCCATTATAGAGAACACAGAAAATTTGTATGTGATTTATTAAATGAATTTTAAAGTAAAGCATACAAATACGCGAAATCTTTTGATGGTACTAACGGCCAGCTAGAACAGCCTTCTTTGATACAATCAGTCATCTTTAATACAACAAATAACTTTTCAGAATATATTTCGTTTATTTATGTAACCGACACAATTGCTTGTGTACTTATCTGTTACTATTATTACAAAATGTCAGTTGTAAAATCCTCTAGAACACCAGCATCCTGCCTAATATCTTCTTTACATTTTATTACAAGACAAATATATTTCAAAAGAGTTCTATATATGGGGCTCAATTGTCGGTGTACCTTTTCATATATATGCAATCACATAATGGCACTGGCGAAAATCTTATTGGCGAAATTCAAGAATCTCATTGATTTATTCTTATATGATACATAATATATGTTATACTTTTGATAAAATCTATGAGTAATTCTAATTCAATTTGTTACACTAGATCGGATATCAGTATTTTTTCTAATCTACTAGTAATAGGCGACACTAATTTCGATTCGAAATTGATAATATAATATTAAATCTTCTACACCGCTCTAAAAAAAATAATTTTGTTAATTTAGTAATCTAAAGTTCGAGTGCTGTTGGACTTTCATAAAAAAATGCAGTTGATTTTCGAAATACTATTTTATCAATCATAATATATTCTTCGTTAAGAGTTAATCATTCTTCTATATTTATTGGCGCCTGCTTTGGTCGAAATTGTAATTATATTTCGGAATCTATAATGAAGAACTAAATATTCCTATTATAAAAATAAAAATATGCAAGATTTTCAATCAGTTTGAATCATTATGAATCATATTACATTACATTCAACAAATATACCAAAATCATTATTATCTCAACAAATAGAAATTAATTTTAATAGTTCAATTCTTAATCTTTTACAAACAAAACGTCTTTTTACATTACTTGATTCACCTATATTAATTAGTAGTAAAAATTCATTACCAACATTAACTGTACTTCCATTAATATTTTTAATACGATTAAAACATGAAGCAAAACAACATGGTTTATATTTACATGATATAAGATTAAGTGGTGGTGCTGCATCATTTATTCTTGATCCAACAGGTGATTTAGCATTTCGTGATTTAGATTTTTTAATATCAGTCAATGATGTGACATCAGAATCGACATGGTCTAATATAAAAAAAGCTGTATTTACATCTTTACCATTATCAAATAAAGAGAATCAATGTTTATCAACAGAAATCTATACAGATAAAATGATTCGTATTATTAATGAACATGATCGTTGGGGTTTAATATCACTTCGAAATGTTGATGGTCGAAATTTAGAATTAGTATAAAATATGAAATAAAAATTCATAATGAAAATTTCGAAAAATGTTTTGATTTTAGAAATTTGTTGAACATATGAAAAGACAATATCAATTTTCCGTTGATTCATTTCAAATTTTACTTGATCCTTTATTGAATTATATTTATCTAACAAAAAAAATTGATTTATATCCATCAATTATTGTTCTATCAAGTTATGGAAATATTTCTGAAGCATTTCAACATTTACATTATCGTTTAATAGCTGTTAAAGCACCTGAAGAATTACGTGGAGGTGGACTTTTAAAATATTGTGATTTAATTGCGCGAGGTTTTCGTCCAGCAAATCAAATACAAATGAAAGATTTACAACGTTATATGTGTTCAAGATTTTTTATTGATTTTAGAGATTCATTAACACAAGAACAAGTTTTATTTAAATATGTTACAAGTCATTTTGGAATTGATTATGATGTACGGTATCGATTTTTACGTTGTTTATATGATGTTATATCAACTGATAGTGTTTGGTTAAGTGCTTTTGAAAGAATTTGTTTTTTACGAACGATTTCAATAATGATTTCATCGATTATGCCATTAAAAGTAGTTAATAATGGTTAGTATAAAAATTATTCTTTAACTGTTGATTGACCTGTACTTATAATATTTTAGTTAAACCATTACTAAAATCGACGTGTGCTTATTCATCAAAGAAATCAACATTAAATCAGTCGTCAAGAAAATATTCTCCAACGTGTACAATATCAAATCAAGGTATAGTCAACGTAAATCAAAATTTAAAACATTCAATATCTTTTTTTTTCCAGAATGTCTGACACCATCTGTTCCAACATCCAATACTTTAATTAAATCACCATCAGAAAAATCAACAAATCTTATTCTTCTTTCTCCTACACCAATGACATCTTTATCATTTGAACAAATAGATATATTTGTTCAAATAGTCAATAGTCTTCGTACTGAACTTTTTCCTAAACTCAATAATTTTTTGTCCTCAATGTAGATATATTCAAAAATAGGAATAGAAGAACATCTTTCAATTTAAAAAAATCATGTTTTAATAATGTTTGAGAACAAATATCCTTATTTATTATAGAACAAAAAAAATTAATTTGTTTTCTCTGTCAACTTCACATTTGATTAATGAACAGATGGTTTTGTATACTATGGATATCTGATTAAAATGACCTATCTTGCTTTCTCTTTCGAACATATTGATATATGTAGAAAAAAGGTAAAAGTAGAGAACAGGAAAAACAAATATTGATCGACGGCAAGTCTCATATGAAACCTTCGTTCAGGTATCGATTACTTTCATTTTTTAACATATGAAGGTTTACGATCCGATTACCAACATTACATAAATAGATCTTCAAGTAAGCATTCTAAATGAATCTATCGTTTTGTATTTATTTGTGATGTCAGCAATATATAAAAAGGAGGAAATTGAATGTAAATTTTAATCATCTTCTTTCATACAATAGAATTGATCGATCAATCGCGAATGCGCCAACGGAACTTGCTTTATCTTTAAAAGTGTAGACAATGAATGTTTTGTTTGCTCTGGACAAACGTCTAGCTGTACTACTACTACTTCTTCTTCTTTCGTCACGATCTAAACTTGATGTATGATGATAAGGTGTGACGAATAGTTTATTAATGAACAAACCATTTTTTTAATATTTACATTCTTAAATTAGAAAGAAAAAAATCCATCTGTTGAATATTCTCTCGTAGTATAAAACAAACTTTGCCGTTTTTCTTTTTTTCCATTAAAACATTTTTACAGTTTATATTGAAAAAAAACTGTCTATTTGTTGTCGGTGTATGATCAAAAGTGATTGAGATGTCGTCTCTAACGAAAAAAAAAGCATCAAATCACTTTACCAAAGAATGTTTGTTCTCACTTAGACGAGACTCATCATCATCATCAACACTTTTGCAATGCTTGAATAGTTCTTTGATCAAAAAGGATATTATTCTTACGACTTGATATTATTGATTTTCTCAAGAATTTGCCGTTCTTTTTTTTTCTCTCTAAATTATGCTTTTTTAAAAGCTTTTTTTTTGATGTTCAATGATAAAAAAAGAAACGAAATAACTAATAGATAAATCAATATTGACAAGAAATAAAGAAAATAATGATAATTTCACTTATATTTTTTTTTATTCGAAATTTTATCACGTAGAGTTGAAATCTTACAAATACTTCTAATCATGTCATTCATTCAACTTCATTTAATGGCATAAAAAAAAAATTTTCGGATGAAAGAGAAAGATTTTTTTTTCTTTTTGCTTTCAATACTTTGATTCTCAAATTACTTTTGTTCGAATACGACATGTATTTACTTTTGGCAACCATACTAGATTTTTTTTTCTCCTTCATTTTTATATATTACCAAATAAACAATCATATATGATCGATCATAATTTAAATTTAGATTATGTATTGCGCTTAGATAACATTCAACTATTATCATATCATAAGACCCTTGAAAAATAAACATGATAATACTCTTTTCCCTTCCCGGTGAAATAACAGTCGACTGATAATTAATTCTAATCTGTAAGTTTACCATGATATTTCTGAACATTATTAAGAAGAAGAAGAACGACCATACCATTTTTTGGTATAGGCCGCTGTCCAAGGACAGTTTCGATATGCCCGATATTTCCTACAGCGATGACTAGTTGTAGCTCTGGTCAGGGAGACAGTCTTGATCCAGAGTTCTTCTCGATCAGTTACTTGAGCTACCCATATATTCTGACTAACATGTAGTTAGAATATTTTCGGACGGGTGATCCGAGACAAAATGGCCGTTATTGACTTGTCTAGGGTCATTACATAGCTGGTGATACCGAGGTTTGAACACAGTACCTCATGGTAACATGCTAACCACATAACCAGTCGGCCATGCCGGCGCGAACATTATTAAATGATGTGATAACGAATGAAAAAAAAAACTTTCATTGATTTTCAATTAACAATTCATCATCATCCAATTATTTTTGATTTTAGAAAAAATCGAATTTATTCTTTTGATAATTATAAAGATGTTTGTTTTGTTTTAAACAACATTCTATTAACATCAACCCACAGTATTCAACTCGAAATTACATGTGTTAAATAAACACGGATATCAATCAGTAGATGATCGAACATCCGCTAAGTCTAAATATGCAATTACTGTTTAAATATTATATCTTTTTTTCTTTCATAGATCATTTCCTAACAGTGATTTGATATCTTTCTCAACTTAATGTTACATCGTAATCTTTCCTGTGTGAAAATAGTTTTTCTTGTTGAAATATAATATTGGAATAAAACTCTATTTGAAATCAACAAATACCAAAAAAAATCATCTAGAGAACAAATGATTGAAATTACTTTTTTTTTCTTCTTCTTCTTCTTCTTTATTATGTGTGTATGTGTGTATATATGACTACTAATAAGCATTGAACATATATTTATTCTCTTGTTCTCTTGACTTAAATTTACTTTTTCAAATGAGAATCAGAACGAAGAGAAAAAAGAAGGAATAGTTAAACGATATGATATATATATACACATAAGTTCATTTTGAACTTATTTTTTATTTTATATTAGTTCAAACTTCATAATGCAGGTGAGAATATATCCATATCTAATATTATTATACGATTATATTTAATACATAAAAATTAATCTTCATAGTTTCGCTTATTTTTCATAATCCAATAGAATATTTGTACGTGATTATTCAAGGTATTCAAAGCTTCTTCCTCATCGGAAGTGCAGCAATACATACAGTCCGTCCCTTTTCTTTCTAACCAACACACACACACGTCAAGGTGGGATTAGATACAACGACAACGACTACTTTTATATTTGTTCAATTTGTTCAGACATATACTGAAGATGACCATCGATCCTCATACAATATATATACATTCTTGTTAGATATATGACAAACATCGAATCTAATGTTTATCAAAAGGATTTATTCATGTCAGGGTCATCCGACTAAAAGAAAAATAATTATATCATTGAAGATTCACTTTTTTCGAGAAAAAGTAAAACGAAAAGCTTAAAAATAATATAAAATAAACAAATACTATTATCACAGTTACTTGAAAAACTGAAGAAGAATTTATTGATACTTATACACATTGCATTTTATCAAGTATATAATAAATTCATTTTCTCCTACTTCAACTATGATCACATCGATTTCAATCAATACGATTATACACCTACTCATCAGCATTTTTTTTTCCCAAAGGATTTTTTTCATTCGTTTATGATTGTTAAAGAATATGATTGGTTTATGGAAGAACAACATTACTATTGGATGAAGGTCATAAAAAAAACTACATTCTCTCTCTCTCTCTTTCTGTCAAACATCGCGTCAACTTTTTTCCTTCTTTCTCTCTCTCTCTCCCTCTCTCTTTCTCTCTCTTCCGTTTTGAGAGATGTAAAATCTACATAGGAGCCAATATTATTCTAGCAAGCAGCCAGTGACAAACGACAACGTACGAAACAAATATTGTTTCCATTTATTTGTAACACACAAACATATCCACGCGCGTGTACATAGACACACACGTATCGTACACATAGAAAGATTTTTTTCAAGAAAATTAAAACAAAGTAAGAGAGAGAAAAGAAAAGATTATAAGTACATATTAACAAAACTAATATAAATAATTTTATTGACAAAAAGATCTTTTTTTTCTGCATATTTACAGCTCCATGTCATCATCATCACCGAAAACATCAGGGAATTATCAAACAAATTTCTGCTATCAACAACCATCCTATGGAAATAATGTTGGTCAATATTCAGTTATACCAACAGCACATCATCATCATCAACAACAACATCAACAGCAACTAGTCAATAATAATGTTCAATCACTTTCGCCAACATCTCTATCAATTGTTTATGGCAATCAACAACAAGCGAATGCATCAAATCTTATTCAAGCACGTTATCAAAATGAACAAATTCATGATAAAACTAGTAACAGTTTAACATCAGTCATAGCTAATGGTCA